CCAGAGGCTGCCTTAATATTATGAGCCATAATTTGACCATGACTCGGTGTAAGTTACAAGGTTCTCAGAGCTTGGTGTGATCCACGGGGTTAGAGTTTAGTGCGAGCTACAGTGTTCTTAGGTCATTGACAGATGACCTGTCTCTTGCACTCACTTCATTGACCCTCCAACCACAGGAACAATGTCTGGTGTATTCAGTATGAAGCGTCATCAAAGGGCGGCCCAGAATCACCAACATGTACAGCGAGACCAAGTTAGTCCCACTAGAGGCCAGTATGAAGTGTTGGGTCACCTGCCAGCTAGCCATGATAGAAAACCACAGCTAGGGAAATTACCACAAACTTATTTACACTCGCTGTGAAGGGCAACGGTATCCTGCAATCGAGTTACGTAATCACAGCCCCGTGCAAGAAGCAGCTGTCTAGTTTCCTGTTTGTATAAAATTCAGGGAACGAAAGTACAGTCGCATCTTGACCACATGAGCTGCTGTTAATACCGCTTCCAAAGTCGGCGCCACGGTGTGTGTGTGTGTGTATTATCACGCAGCTGAATCAGTAGATCAGTACACATGCCGCTGGTGCTGTTAATATTGTCAAGAATATAGTTGCTTTCTAGAGATTACCTGTTCTATCATGAAGATAGATTACAACCATAAGAAAGACGCTGCAACATTTACCCAGAGAACAAAAGAAAAAGTGGTCGTCTACAGCCTTATACAGCGCTGTGGAAATACTGAAACACATCAGGAAAAAGTATCGCAGGCAATGACGGGGCAGATGAGGCTGCCGAAAAGGCCAACAAACTAAGCAGACAGCAATGTGCCGCCTAGCCTAGAGCAAATCATATAGAAAGTGAAAACTATCACCATAAACCTGACACGCTGCCTTCACATCAGTGCCCTAAATGTATCCTCGTCTGCAACTCGGTAAGGAAAAAATCAAACGGATAGGAAACGCTAATTCTCCTCCATGGTACCGACAGACAGATTGAAATAAATATACATGGCAACAGGCGAGAAGCTCAGCGTATTCTTCTTGTTCGTGTGTGTAGTCAGCAGTCTTCAGTTTTCTATTTTGGGACCAGTTCTTATATAATAATGCGTAAGCCTTACCACAAGTTATGTCATAACTTGTGGTAAGGCTTACGCATTATTCTGACTTTACTTCCGCGTTTCGACAATGTTACTTCGTTGACCAGCAAGCAGCAGCTTCCTAAAAGCTTGATCAGAAACCTCCATGAGTGTATCACAATCTTATAATGGAGTTACTGAACGAGATCCATGGCTTTCGTAAATGAAGTACGCATGGTGTATGGGTAGCCTCAGCAGGTGATACCAGGTTTTCCAGGCACTGCACTTAAATGACTAGACTAGAATTTTTAACTGCGTCATCAGCATTTCCAAGAGTCCAGGTAAAAGACCAAGAGAATTACCCAGAGCGTCCCGTGTGTTCACCGTTATTTTCTCACCATAAAGAAGTATATATCGGAACACGTTTGTTTTGGTTAGCAGCAAAATCTTACATTCCATACGAAATGAAAAATATTTTTCATTTCATATTTTCATATGAAATATTTTGCAATATTTTCACTTATTTTTTCAAGAGATTTTTTGTCTCATTAACCATTGTCTGATTAATCACCCTGAAGTTTTCACCCTTTTGTAGCTGTTTCTTGAAAATCTGGCAGGGTTTTTCTATTGTTTTTCTTGTTATCAGCTGGACAACACCTCAGAAGGTGCAGCTGTCAGCAGACCAATAGATGGAGCAGCTGTCAGCTGCTCCTGCTCTCAAGATCTGCAGGATCTTCATTAAAGGTGTGTGATCAAGATGATGTGTTCACGGAGTCGCTTCAGTGCTGCTGCTGCTGCTGCTGCTGCTGCTGCTGCTCAGTTCTAAGATTAAGCTAGACAGTACCCCGCTGGAGCCACGGGGTCCTCCACTTCACTTCGTTCACTCTGTAATATGTGGTTTGGCCAATGGAAAGTAGACCCAAATCAGTGTTTCTTAGCAGATCAGAGAATGTATCGAGGTTGTGATGGCTGATATACGCCTGGACAGCTCTATTAACTTGGCATCACAAACAGGGAGATACATCCTTTATTTACTGTATGTCATGAAACAGTAAACCACTGTTGGTGGACCAGCACAAGAAGTGTCCTCTAACACCGCCCAGAATCGGGTAGCAAAACATTATGGCGAGACTTTAATTTCTAAGTTTCTTGCACGATTTGTTCTTCAGTGCATCACTGTGTTGCACGACATATGTAACACTGAAACTGACGCACTGTGAATTGCATGACATGTGTACCACTGGAGCTGACGCCCTGTGTTGCACGACATGTGTACCACTGAAACTGACGCACTGTGAATTGCATGACATGTGTACCACTAGAGCTGACGCCCTGTGTTGCACGACATGTGTACCTCTGGAGCTGACGCACTGTGTTGCACAACATGTGTACTACTGCAACTGACGCACTGTGAATTGCATGACATGTGTACCACTGGAGCTGACGCCCTGTGTTGCACGACATGTGTACGACTGAAACTGACGCACTGTGAATTGCATGACATGTGTACCACTGGAGCTGACGCCCTGTGTTGCACGACATGTGTACCTCTGGAGCTGACGCACTGTGAATTGCATGACATGTGTACCACTGGAGCTGACGCCCTGTGTTGCACGACATGTGTACCTCTGGAGCTGACGCACTGTGTTGCACAACATGTGTACTACTGCAACTGACGCACTGTGTTGCACGACATGTGTACCACTGAAACTGACTCAATGTGTTGCACGACATGTGTACCACTGGAGCTGACGCACTGTGTTGCACGACATGTGTACCACTGGAGCTGACGCACTGTGTTGCACGACATGTGTACCTCTGGAGCTGACGCACTGTGTTGCACGACATGTGTACCTCTGGAGCTGACGCACTGTGTTGCACAACATGTGTACTACTGCAACTGACGCACTGTGTTGCACGACATGTGTACCTCTGGAGCTGACGCACTGTGTTGCACAACATGTGTACTACTGCAACTGACGCACTGTGTTGCACGACATGTGTACCACTGGAGCTGACGCACTGTGTTGCACGACATGTGTACAACTGTTTTTTTCGTTTTCTACTTACAGCAAAACGAAAATGCTTAAGCGAAATTTATTAACGTATTAAAAGAATGCATTTTTTTCCCCTTCTGACATACAGAGTAGGTTCTTTCAGACCAGCAGCTTGACCTGGCTTTAAAGATGGCCAACAAAAACGTATTTAACTGGGAGCTGACAGGTCCATCACGTGACATCAGACATCAGGACAACTGAAAACCATAGTGGACTGAAAACCATGTTGAGTTTTAATGCTTCAGTGTGATACTCAAATCTAAAATTTTGATCAGTAACTCATGAAGAGAAATTGGGGGGAAGGGATGGGGGAGAGGAGGGGAGAGGAAGGGTAGAAGGGGGGGAGAGATAAGTTACTGGAAGAAGTAGCGGTGATGGGAGAGGTGTGTGTGTGTGTGAAAGAGAAAGAAAGAAAAATAGATAGATAGATAGATAGATAGATAGATAGAGATAGAGACAGAGAGAGAGAGAGAGAGAGAGAGAGGGAGAGAGGTGGTTGCCGAAGAGAGAGGAGGCTGGGAAAATGAAGAGGTAGGGGGTGATGATAAATGGGACCTAGACGTGAGAGACGGCATAGTGGAAGGAAGAGAATGTAGTGAGAGAGAGGAATAGGAAAGAAGAGAATCGCTGAAAGTGGTAATGGAGAAAACTATGGGCATGGTGGAAGAGAGAAACGGTGATAGTGGAGGTGGTGGTGGTGGTGGTGGTGGTGGTGGTGATGGTGTGGTGGTGGTGGTGGTGGTGGTGGTGGTGGTGGTGGTGGTGGGTGGTGGTGGGGTGGTGATGGTGGTGGTGGTGGTGGTGGTGATGGTGGTGTTGAGCAAGAGTGTGTGAGAGAGCATGGTGCGTGAGAGTGGGTCATGGGCTGGGCAGGAGGGTATGTAAACCATACCACGGGTGGGGTTTGAATCCGCGGGTTTAAACCCCACCTTTGGTATGGTTTGTTTGCAATTGTGTCATTACGGTTTCGTGAGTCAGGAGGGTATGTATGTGGCAGGTAAGGTTTATGTAGGGGGTGAGGGAAAGGGAGGAACCAAGGAGGAGATATGGGCAACTCTGATAAAATACATACGTACACTACACATGTGTAGTGATCCTCGCATCACAAAGCCTCAACTCTGAACTTGGTGAGCCAGCGCACGAACTGGCTCCAATATTACGAGTAAAACAATATGCTGACGTGTGGCTACCTCTATTACAAAAAAAATATTATATATGTTGAGTGCTCAAGGGATACTCTAACTAATAATACTCTAACAATACCGTAACTTTGAGACGCTTCTTCAACTCTCACAATCACTACATGAAAGGTAAACATCATGACACTCAAACAAGCATCAAATCATTATAATGAGTCATTCTGAGGGTTTAATTATCAAGAAGGAAAAAATGTTACAGGGAGGTAACCGGAATTCACATAGACATTAAACAGTAAATTATTTTCAGTATTTGTGGACCATCGTGAAACTCGCAGCTAAAACTGACGTCTTATATATTTACTTGATGTTAAAGATATGTAACTCTGCGGTCGCAGCATGCCACATTTCACTATCTCTGCGACGACTATACGTACTACAACAGTCTCTGGTACCTAAAATCTACGGACACACAAAGTCATATTTCACAATCAATGACACCAACAGTCATAACATGGAACCTTGCACTCCCATCTTCAGTGTTATAAATGATACACACTCTTGCCCACCCCTTCCTCAAGTCTTCAACCCCCCCCCTCTCGACACCCCTTCCTGAATCCTCTTCCTGCACTCCCTCCATACCTTCCCTGCACACCCTCTCTACACCCCCCCTCACTGCACCCTCTCCCTACTCCCTCTCCCTGCACACCAACTCATCTGAAGCGTGATAGTACTCACCTGAAGCGTGATAGTTTTCAAGGTAAGAGATCCTTCGGTCCCTGACCCGGATAGTAGTGTTGGTGGCCAACTGGTGCGGTCCTAGCGTCAACCTGCACTCCGCCCGCACACTGCCACCCGCTGACGACACCTGAGGGAGGAGACCACGTGTGAGGGATACGTGAGAGAGGAGACCACGTGTGAGAGATATATGAGTGAGGAGACCACGTGTGAGGGATACGTGAGGAAGGAGACCACGTGTGAGGGATACATGAGTGAGGAGACCACGTGCGAGGGATACTTGAGTGAGGAGACCACGTGTGAGGGCCATCAGGTGGAACACAACTAAAAATAACCAATTACAAACATGTGAGGGAGTCTACCTACTGAGAGATAAATTAAGACTAGTTACACCTGGTCGTCTGAGAGAGTTTACACGGATTCATGACACAGTGTAACAAGCTAGAACAACTGGAAGAGTCCCCTTCAACCTGTTGAGAGAGAGAGAGAGAGAGAGAGAGAGAGAGAGAGAGAGAGAGAGAGAGAGAGAGAGAGAGAGAGAGAGAGAGAGAGAGAGAGAGAGAGAGAGAGAGAGAGAGAGAGAGGGAGAGAGAGAGAGAGAGAGGGAGATAGAGAGAGAGAGCTGCCACATGTGCTAAAGAATGTCAAAAGGAAATCCGTCATTATTGTTGTGATTATCATGATTGTCAGTGTAGTTTTTCTTGTCATGTTCTCAATGTTTGTGTAAGCTTAATGATACTTGTTAAACCCAGCAGCAGGTGTTCAGAACGAACTTGCACTTCCCGCCTGTATGAATAAGTCAGTATGAATAAGTCAGTATTCTGTCACCTGTGTGACATCTGGTTATCTTTATTACGTAGACGTTTCGTCAACAAGTGGCTTTATCAATACAATACAGAACACCGGAGAGGTAGAAGATGAGGTAATCAGTCCCTCACCCCAGCAGCAAGTGTTCAGTACCGTAGTCTTAGTGAATCTGAAGCATAGGAGGGAAAAAGTGGGCTTATATACTGGAGTCAGATGAGATGAAGGCATTGTTACTGGTAAGGGCATCATTCCCCAGTGGAAGTAGGTCATGACCTAGGGGTGGGCCAGAGGCAGGAAGCAGTTGTGGGAATGTTCTCTGTACCTAGATTCCATGATGTTTCTGTGTCTGACAAGTGTCTGATTCATCATCTTGTCGGTATTATATACCGCTGATATACACACTGGTAGGTGTTGATACTAGAGATACATAATTCACATATACTGTGTATTAGCATGTCACTGCACCAGCAGGTGTTGTTCACAGACTTACACTTAAACATATTAATAGGCTACTCCACTAGCAGATGTTTATTAAAGACACGCCTCACATACACACACACACGTACACATTCTTGCATGCAACATGTATCAGCAGTAAAACATATTGCAACTCGCCATCTAGTCTCTTGTACAATGGACAAGGAAATGATCACTGTACTCTACTTCTCTACTGTGGGCATTTCCTTACTTCTTGGCTACAGTAAGCATTTCCTTACCCTTTGGCTACAGTAAGCATTTCCTTACCCTTTGGCTACAGTGAGCATTTCTCTCACCACTGTAGTCTGTCTGGTTAAAGTTGTAAGAAAACTTTCCACTTGCTCATGGGTAAAATAGAATGGGAAATTCCGAGGAATATTAAAATCTGAGAGGGAGGAGGCGAGTGAAGGTGGTGACCGACTTTTTCCTAGATGTGATAATAACTGGCATCAAGAGCCAACTGAGAGAGAAATGTGCAGGCAATTCCGATTCCCTTCGAGAAAAAAATATTGCAATATGCAACAAAACAAAGGGGAGAGCTTGCAGAAGAGTTAAATAGGGTAAAAATGAAGGAAGAATGAGCCATCAAACTAAGGGAAATGAAAAAGAGCTGAAGGAGACCATGGAGGAAATGAGGAAGAGAGTAATAAGGGTAGAAACACTGAAAAGAAAGGAGCAGGTGGATCCAGAGAGAACAAAGAAGGAAGATCACTGGCAGAGATGGTCACTGGCAGAGATGGTCACTAGCAGAGATGCTCTGAAGATGGGGAGGCTAAGAAGGTCATAAGAAGGACAGCAAGAGAAATGATGAAGACAACGAAATCTGATGAAAAATTTGGAATGACAGGAGGAAGTAGGGCGGTAACTTATGATTTTTGGACTTCAGAAGGCTGAAAGGGGACCCAGGAAGCAGGAGATGGGACGATAAGGAATATGAAATCATGTTGATCATTGAGCAATAGAAGAGGAAGAAATTGGGTAGATGGAAAATTTTCAGAGAATTGAGAGGTGCTCCCGTGGTAAACAATGGCCACATATTGGCAGGAAGCACACCCGGTGACTAAACGATGCTACAGTCGTGTATACCTAGATCATCACAGGACAGAAATGGAGAGAGAGAAAAGTTGAGGGAGCACATGAAAATCTATCAGGTACGGAAAAGAGTAGCAGACGAGAACTCAGAAGGAGAAAGCATGAAGCCTTAAAGAACTCTTGCAGATGCAACCCCAGCAGCTTGTCTAACGAGCCCAACTCTATGCCTGCTTCCATTTTCCCAGCATCAACATTAACATGAACTCCTACCCTGTCCCCTTATCATCACAACTCCCTCTTTCTCTTCATCTTCTCTGCCTACAACCGTATTCCAGACTTCCCCCTTTGTAGTGATACACACACCAACCCCATTCCTACCTCCCCCACTCCTGAGTTGAACGACATGCAGAGATTAGACAATGTAAACTAGTGTATGGGAAGGGAAAGAAAACTCATTTTTTTTGTAGTATACATCGCTGATGGGTTATTAAACAATAGTGTTGAGTTGAAAGAACGAAGAGGTGAGGTAACCCCGGATATCATAGTTATAGAAACAAAGCTGACCAAAATAATATCAAATGTCATATGTTCAGCAAGATATCAAGTGATAAGGAAAGGCAAAGGAAACAGAGGAGGGGTGGCACTGCTAATCAGAAATCAGTGGAGTTTTGAAAAAGTGTAGAGCAGTGGTTCCCAAACTGGGGGTAAATTACCCCCTGCGGGTAATTTAACCATTTTTGGGGGGTAATGGAGGGGTGACAGAAAAAAAGTTATGAATTCTGAAAATCAAGAAAACAATGCGGTACCGGGTATGAGGATTATTGTTAACTTTGTCTTAGTATATAAAGTTGTAAAGTAAACCTATTATAAGTAAGTAATAAAGTTAAACCAAATAACAATAAACATCAAAAACTAATATACAGTATTAGAAAAGAAGAAATATATAGCTAAGTGTGTGGAAACCCAAAAATATTTTGACAAGTATGCTTCAGGACAAAAGTCACTCAGTAGCCCAGATCGACCTGTCCAGTACGCGTCACTCACTTCCTGAGGCTGCCTCTATTTCACACTGTCAGTTTATCTGTGAGCATCAGCCGAGGTAGACATAAGCTGGTATGTATGTGTACTGCCCTGTGCAGTATATAGTTAGTATTTACCCACTGTTACTGTGAATTTGTAGCTATTATTAATTTTATATATAATGTATGTGTGGTTCTTACGGTCTCAATGGTTTTGCTAGGATTAGAAGAGTATGCGAGGCTGTATACGTTCACGTTTAGCCATATATATCAATAATAACAACATTTTGTGAAAGGGGTAACATGCTTTATGTGGCATGTTAAATTGGGTAACAAGCTGAAAAAGTTTGGGAACCACTGGTGTAGAGGATAAATACACACGAGGTAAACGACTGCACAGTGGGCTCATTTAAGACTGTTGGACTCAAAGTAATAGTTGAAGTGATGAACAAACCAACACCTAACGGTAGGAGACAGAGACATGGATTTGAAGATAACAATATAAACAGTAAGCTAGCCTCTACTCTCCACGAGATGGATACAAAGATTACAGTAAACTAGCCTCTACCCTCCATATTATGGAGGAATATCCCACTTAAAGAACTCCAGCTGGAACATAGGCTGGAATTAATGGTATATTACCCACAAAACAGACCGAAAGGGGGATACACTTTCCACTTAGAGTAGGAAGCTGTGTCGTATGGTTACTCATAAGAGATAGGAGCTTATCCTGTGTGACAGCGTCCTCAAGACACCTCCCCGTAAAGGCCAGGTTGGAAGCGCTGAGAGACTGAGACACTTATCTTATCCAGCCTTGAAGACTTATTCCCATTGGAAACTCTTTGAATGACAAATCTACGTTGTTTAACTCTGAAGGGAGTTCTTCTAACTGCACAAACTTGTGTCTTTCTACCGTTATGTGTACTTGAAGCGACCAAGGTCCCAGATCGAAACGTTTCCAATGCAGTGTCCTAGTGTTTGCATTCTGTGCCCATTTTTTCAACAGCTGGAAGGTTTCCTTCGACTGGGAAAGAGATAAGAACATTAGGTTCAGTAACACTGAAGACGACAGCAACAGCAACGGCAGCAAAAACAACAACAACGACGACAACATCTACGACAGCAGCCACAAGAGACGGCCGCAGCTGAACCATGGTATACAGCATTATAGCAACTATGAATGCACGTATGCATAAATGAGTGGGTTGCCTACAATGGCGGGTGGGGGGCTGTGGACGGGTGTGGTGAGTGGGGGTTGTGGGCGGGTGGTGGGCAGGGGTTGTGGGCGGGTGGTGGGTTGTGGGCGGGTGGTGGGTGGTCGTGTGAGGGGTGGGCGGGTAGGCAGCATGGCCGTCACTGCACATTACACACCAACACCAACAAGATTAGCCACGTCACCCCCACGATATCACCCACTGACCAAGGTAATGAGTAATACTGGCAGAGAGAGAGAAGAGAGAGAGAGAGAGAGGATGAGAGAGAGAGAGAGAGTAAGGGAACGACAGACAGCAGGACTTTAAAAATTTACTCCGAGGAAAATTTTGCCCCATTGACTTCGCCCCCAAATCCGAAACCCAAACCGGGAAGGCCCGAAAAACAGATTTCCACACGGGGAAAAAAAGGGCCATGGAATTTAAAAGATTTTAAGCAAAAAGGGGAAAAAGGAAAACCCCGACCCTTTTTTTAACCCCACAGCCCTTCGGAAACTAACCCATTATCCACTTATAAAACAGGAGTTGAATAAATGGGGGGTTCCCCTTCGGGGGGGGCTGTGGAAGGGTGGGAGGGGGGGTTT